GCTATCGGGTCTGCAACCTCTCCATCCAAACCCTGAGAAGGAGAGGTTGCCTCAATGGAGCCAGCAAGAGACAAAAGATCTGATAGCGATTAGGGCTGATTTAGAGAGGGATTTCAATGTGTCGAGGAGGAACAAGACGCTGTGGGAGGCGGTGGCGACGAGGATGAGGGAGAGAGGGTATCGGAGGAGCCCTGAGCAGTGTAAATGCAAGTGGAAGAATCTCGTCAATCGGTACAAGGTCGGATTTTTTTGTTGTCGTTTTTGGGAAATTATTTGGTGCGTAGATGGAAAGATTAGATTTTTATCAGTTCTAGTTTTGGTCTGATTGCATTTTTAGCACTAGGTGCCGATGGGTAATTATATTTTGCTCTCGGACCGTTCATTAATGTGAAAAGCAATATTGGATTCAACTTGGGATAGCTGTAGGCTTTCTATGCTAATGTATTAGGTAAAAGCAATGAGCTTCTTGTCGCGCATGAATTGGTTTAGGCCAGGATATTCAGCTGAATGTTTACATTTCATCCTAATTCAGCTTTCTTCAGCTGAACAATTGAAGTATTCTTTAGCTTGGTTGTTTTATTTTATTTTTTCCCGGTTAATTTGTCTCTGGTTCCATGTTAGGGGTTGTTGATTTACTATGTATATGTACTATATTGTGGCTTTTACTGTGAGAACCAGTATTATGCTTATACGGTGCTAAGCAATCCCTTTGCTTCGTGTTTATCTTGATAAGAATGATTCTTTTTTTTTTTTGAGCTTTTGTTACAATTAGATATATTCATGAGCTTAACCTGATGGCCTGGAAACATATAAGAATTCTCAGTTCTCCTTTCTGTGCACTTACACAAGTAACCTCATATATGTGTATAACTTCCAATAGAAAGGGAGAAATAAATAGATTATTGAGCTTACATATTATGGAATCAACGGAAGCATGTAATAATATGGGAGCAAAGACTGCAGCATAAAGGTGCAGATATTTAAATGACTCTGCATGAATTTAGTTATAGTTCCGTAGAGCTCTTTTGAGTTTTGTGCTTGCGCATTGCTGTTGTTGGAGGTATTGGTCTAATTGTAGAGCATCTGGAGAATGGTTTGCTAGGTGTTAGTATTAAACAAATGGTTCAGTAGGTGTTAGTATTAAACCCCATTATTTCTCCTTGTGTTGCCTTCAACCTTCCATGAATTGTTCTTGTAAAAGATGCTTGCTGTCTTGTTGAAAGCTCAGTGTGTTCCTTGGAGGTGCATTTTGCTCTCAATTCCATTGCAGTATCCCTTATGATTTTTGAAATTCCCAGTTGAAAGCTCTTTTTTTTGGTTGTGCTTTTCATAAGGAATAACATTATATGATTTTACAAATGCGACTACATGTTTTATTTTTTATAGAACTTTTTTTCCCCTTCACTATCATCCCGCTTTTGACTAAATTACCATCAGTTTTTTTTTCTGTTTAGTGATTGCGAATGTAGTCTTCCATCGTTCTGGTAGAATTTTCAGCTCATTTATATTTTATAAATCCTTCTATGTTTGTAATAATTATGGTTCAGTATGTGTTAAACTTCTCAAACTTTCAAAGCAAGTACTAATGTAGTCATAAAAGAAAAGTGGTGATGACAGTGAAGTTACTAGGAGCGGAGCCATTAAAGTGAACTGCTCTTTACTACGGAAAAAAGGGGGTTAATGTATCATGTGTACATGGTTTGAGTATCTGTTTTACTAGGTGTGATGGCCTTTAGCTGAATCAAGTATAATCATGTAATTTAATGTATGTTGTAATATTGAAATGCACTTCTAGAAGTTAAAATCATGATTTCTAAGCTGAAGATTCCTCTTTGATGAGGATAATCTGTTGTGGCAGTCGTCCTGTACTGTTAGACAAAATCAACTCTGATCAATTGAATCTTATATATATCAAGTACATTCGGAATTCTGAAGAATCAGGAAATTTAGGAAGAATTGTGTCTAACGTCCTGATGGCTCTGTAATTATCTAGATGGTAATATGCATGCAGCGATTTCTAGTTGAAAGCTGTTGATAGGTTTGATGCTAATATTCGTGACTCAGTTTTCTTAAATATGGCACGTTTCAAGACAATAGTTAGTTAGTTCTCATTTGATTTGGGCTTAAAATCACCTTTGAGATGATATGAAGTATTTATAATCATAACGTGGTCTCCTATCTAATTGAGTATTTTCCATTCTAATGCAGGGAAAAGAAACAGCAGATCCCGACACTGGCAGGCAGTGTCCATTCTTCGATGAGCTTCACGCAGTATTCACAGAGAGGGCAAGAAACATGCAGCGTCTCCTCGAGATGGAGTCTGGTGGTGCCTCCCAATCCAAGAAGAAACTCAAGAGACTCGCTGGAGATAGATCTTCAGAAGAATTACTATCCGACGATGAAGATGACGACGATGAAGAAAGTGATGTAGAGCGCCCAACAAAAGGCAAGAAGAAGAAAACCGAAAAAGTAGCACACCAACAAAAAGCAACAGAGAAATCAAGAACAGGAAATAACAGTAACATTCACGAGGTGCTGCAGGAGTTTTTTCAGCAGCAACAGAGAATGGAGTTACAGTGGCAGGAGATGATGGAGAGGAGAGCTCAAGAGAGAGCGAGGTTTGAGCAGGAGTGGAGGCAGTCGATGGAGAAGCTGGAGAGGGAGAGGATTATGTTGGAGCAAGCTTGGAGAGAGAGGGAGGAGCAGAGGAGGATGAGGGAAGAGAGCCGCGCAGAGAAAAGAGATCAGCTGCTTACGACGCTGTTGAATAAGCTTATTCAGGATGAGCTTTGATTGCTTGTTTAGTTTCTGGTTTCTGCTGGATCTGCACAGAACAATAGTACAGTTATAAACTGACATAAACAGGAAACGTTCTCTATAGGTTGTTTGTTACTGAAAAGAAAAGAGATAGATGTTGTTTGTTGTTTTATGGACTATGGATGTATTTGATGTTTGAGCTCTGTGCATGTAGATTGTATGAATTCTTTACTCTATGAGAAGTTAAAATTTATTTGAATGTTAATGTTTGTTCTTCTTCAAATTTGTGTATGCTTGGCATGGACGAGGACGACGACGCCTCCTCTATACAAAGGCATCACCTCTGTGTTCTGTATAGCCGGGTAAAAACAGAGGGAGGAAGAAAGGAACCTTCATCTATATCTATTGAGGAAAACAAAGTAGAGGCGCTAGAACAAAATCCTCTCCAAGGTAAGTACGTAGTCTGGTAGTAAGCTTTATTTTATTTAGAGACGACACAAAGAGAAAAAATAAGGCAACAGAGAGGTGTGAACGGGACTGGTTCCCCTACTGCTCGGACTCGAATTGAGGGAGGGCGGTCCCTGGTAGGACTCGGTCAGAGGTACGTGAACGGTACTTTATTTATTGTTTGTCCTCGTACAGAGCACCCCCCCTCCCTCCCCACCTTCTCGCAAGCGAGTCTTCCCCTCCTCCTCCTCCGTGGCTC